TGTCACCGTTCAGTGTAGTGTCCCAGGGCTGTTACACTGAGGGGTTTACATGTCACAAAACAAAATTTGTATAAATTGTTGAATGGGAAACAAATGTGCTCTATAACAATTTATTCAAACCACAACAAAAATAAAGAAGAGACGAACTAGATATGGAAAAAAAAATAAACAAAAAATATTCTGAATGAGAACAGCTTATGTGGAGAACAGTAAACATGGACGAGGCTCCCAGGAGATGAGACCAGAGGGGTTCTAGGCTTCTTTTAAATAACAAAAAACAACAAACCATGATTTCAACTTCCCCCTGCCAGATCATTGCCTACCAGCCCTATGGAAAGTCTGTGGATTGGTGGTCCTTTGGGGTTCTGCTGTATGAGATGTTGGCAGGACAGGTAAGCTGGAGAGATGACGGCTTGGGCTGAGTTCAGCCTTTTGAAGGTTGGTGAGGAGTTTGGGCAGGTTTTATGAGGGAGCGTGGTCTTAGGATAAAGGCAGACCTCAGGGTTGTTGTTGTTAAGTGCCATCGAGTGGGTTCTGACTCATAGAGACCCTGGATAGAGTTTCTGAGGAGCAGCTGGTGAGTTTGAACCACCAACTTTGTGGTTCAAACTAACCTTTTGGTCGAGTGCTTATCCTACAGCATCACACCAGGACCTCAGCTTGTTGGTCTTATAAGCTGTGGCTTGTTTGCAATACCCCCGATTGGAGAAATGGAGGAAGGCACCATGGGGTGGTCTTTACCCCAGGATGAGCAGGTTGGGACTATGCAGTTGTTATGTGCTGTTGGGGGTTACGACTGACAGCAACCCTGTGTAGGGTTTCCAAGGAGTGGCTGGTGGACTTGAACCACAGACCTTGCAGTTAGCAATCCAGTGCTTAATTTACAGCACCACTCCAGGACTCCTGAGCTATACTACTGTGTTTCAAAAAGTTCATGGAAAAATTCTGTTAGCATTTCCCCCATTATCTTTTTTATTCCATTTTTTTCCATGAACTTTTTGAAAACCCTCATATATGTGTATATATATATATATGTGTGTGTATATATATATATATACACATACATACATACATACATACATACAGGTCTATCCTGGTGTGGTACTGTGGGTTAATGCACTGAGCTGCATAGTCGTCAGTTTGAACTGAAAGGTCTGTGGCTCAAGCTCACCAGGTGGGTCAAAACTGACTCAACAGACCTTAACAACAACAGTCAGTTCTGACTCATAGAGACCCTGTTTAGTGTTTCCAAGGAGTGAGTGGTGGGTTTGAACTGCCAACCTTGTGGTTAGTGGTCCAGTGCTTATCCTACAGTGCCACGCCAGGACTCCAAAGCAGTATTTTACTATAGGCCAAAGGAGCCCAGGAGTCCTGATGTGGCACTATAGCATAAGCACTGGACTGCCAATCACAAGGCCGGTAGTATGAATCCACCAACTGCTCTGAGCAAGAAAGATGACGCTTCTCCATAAAGTTTTACAACCTTGGAAACCCTGACTCGAGCAGTGGGTGAGAGGGCAGATAGAGTTAAGTTCTTTCTTTTCAAACAAAACAAAACAAAACCCTTTGTATTGTGAATTAATTGAGTGAAAGTTTGCAGACAAGATCATAAGGTTTACGTTAAGCAAATCACACACTTTGTTTCATCTCAGTGACTGCAATCCCCTTTATACAACAAGGTTTCCCTCTTCTTCCAGGTAGTTACTTGTATACAAACATCCTTTTTCAAACTCTTACATATTTGTGGGATATCCCACTCTTCCTCCCATACCCATTCAGCCTGTGTCTCTGTCTGTGTATCTACACACAGAACACTGTTGTTCCAAGGTTGTGTATAGATCACCTCTGCCCCCTTTAGCCCTGTATCTTCATCTGTCTTCACCATTCTTTTGCCAACTTCCCTCTTCATGAATATCGCCACTCCCAGCCCCGGAATTAACATGTGTCTACCCTCTAGTCAGTGAATTCATCTCCTTCCCCTCCCACCCCTGGTAACCATCAAAGAATGTTTCTTTTAGTATGAGAACTTTTTCTTGCATTTTTACAATAGTGGTCTCATACAAGATTTGACCTTTTGTGTTGGACAACTTTCACTCAGCATAATGTCCTCCAGGTTCATCCGTGTCCTGAGGTGTTACGCAGACTCATTGTTTTTCTTCAACATTGCATTGTATTCCATTGTGTTTATCCACTCTTCCATTGATGGGCATTTAGGCTGTCTCTATCTTTTTGTGATTGTGAATAGGACAGCCGTGAACATTGGTGTGCATGTGTTTGAGTGAAGTTCTTAAAGAGCTTTGGTGGTGTCTCAGTAGTTAAGCACTTGACTGATAACCAAGCAGCTGGTGGTTCCAACCCACCAGTCAGTCAGAGAGAGAAAGATGCAGAAGTCTGCTTCCTAAAAGATGACAGACAGTCTTGGAAACGTCATGGGGACAGTTCTAGTCTGTTCTACAGAGTGATGATAAGTCCCAATTGACTAAAGTTTGCACGGTTCTTAATATTTGTGTGTGTGTGTGTGCCATGAACCCCTTCTCAGAATAATGTTTTTCAATGAAAACATAAATAAATGTTAAAACAAAACAGAAACCATAAGATTACAAAAGAAACCAACCATATTGAAATGTTCTAATCAAAACCTAGCAACCTTGGTGTCACCATGTGGTAGGCATTGGGCTGCTAGACAAGAGTTCCACAGCTGGACCTTAGTAGCTGCCCTGTAATCTGCTTCTATGTAAAGATTTACAACCTCGGAAACCGTATTGGAGCAGTCCCACTATGTTCTACAAGACAGATATGAGTCAGAATCAACTCTATGACAGTGAGGTTTTGTTTTTTTTAAAAATAAAACCTTTTTCACATTTCATTTAAACAAGTACATTTAATTTAAATGGATGTAGTTGTTTGAATTTTAAGATTGGGATAAAGACATATATGTACATTCTTTATTAATGCATTAAACAGTAGGATCCACTGGGGAATCTAACAGTAATTTTCAAATACTGATTCTTTTTTGAAAGTCATAGCTTATTTATGAATAAGCTACCCAAGAATACCAAGAAAAGGAGAATAGTATACCCAAGAATACCAAGAAAAGGAGATTAATACTATAATAAAGCCAATATAACATGAACCAAATATACATAGAAGAGGAATGTTTGATTCTGACCCATGATACATTCTTTATCTTTACAATTAACCTAAGTGTCCATTAGAACAAAACTATATGCCTTGCTTTAACTCTAGCACTTTATGTAAAAGCCAACAACACTCCAGGATGCTGCTTTTCATTTTGCTTTGAGATATTTAAGATTCACACATTTGTGGTCTGAGACTACCACTGGTGTGTGATAAGAGAACATCTCTGGTTACGGCGAGGGACTGGTTCCTGAAGCTGCAGTTTGCTGATTATATTCAGAATGGAAGAACATGCTGCGTTTCAAGTCAGAGGTTAAAACAATAAAGACACAGACTTTTCCTCATCCAACTTCATGGGCCTCCCTTCAATTTTATATACAGTAGGCTCACACATGCCACACGAATAACCCCTTCAGTTGCACGAAAAGGTTTCAGAAAGTTCCTGGAAAGATAGAATTGAAAAGATCCTGAAATTTCCCCACAGACTTTTTGAAGCCCCATCACATATGCAGAAGTCAGCAATGAACTGCTAACTGAAAAGTTGACAGTTCAAACCCACCAACTTTGGAAACCCTATACAGGACCTATATGAATCGGAACTGACCCGAAGGCACTTAACAACAGCAATGCATATTCAGCTCCCAGACTCCACATTAACAACCCTTTCCTTGATATTGCTTCTCCTAACCCCACAAGTCCTGGTGTGGCACTGCAGGATTAGCACTGTACGTCTAACCACAAGGTTGGCAGTTCAAACCCACCAGCTGCTCCTTTATACAGAGTCACTATGGGTCAGAACTGTCTGACAGCACTTAACAACCACATGCACACAGACTGGGGGCCATCATCCAACCTGTAGAATGGTTTTCATTGTTGTTTTGTGGGTTTGCTTTTTCTCTTCTGTTTAAATGACATATTGCTTAATTGGGAGGGCAGTGGCTCCGTAGGATAAGCACTGGACTGTGTACCTCAGGGTCTGCAGTTCAAGCCCTGTCAGTTGCTCCATGGGAGAAAGATGAGGCTTTCTGCTCCCATGAAAATTTAAAGTCTTGAGAACTCTATACAGGGTTGAGCCAGAACTGACTCAACTTTACAACAGCATTGTCTAATTGTTAACACTTTGCAGATTTGCACAAGTGATCAAGATAGAAGAACAAAGAGAGTTATAGAGAGCTCAGGCTTCTGAGATAGGAAAAAGGAAAGTCAGAGAGGGTGAAAGTTAAAAGCTCTGGTACTTGGCTAGGCTTTCTGTCTAGGAAGTCGCGGGGTGGTGGTTCATGTTCATGATGGGCAGTAGGGATGTGGAAGGTATGGGACTGGTCATTTTTCAAGTCGCTGACTCTTACTCCCTCTCTTAGCCTCCCTTTGACGGGGAGGATGAGGAGGAGCTGTTTCAGGCCATCATGGAACAAACCGTCACATACCCCAAGTCGCTTTCCCGGGAAGCTGTGGCCATCTGCAAGGGGGTGAGAGTCCCCGTGACCCCAAACTGTTCCAGACTCACAATCCCCATGGTGTCCCTTAGCTACTGTAACCCAGGGCTACCCTTAACCCTCACAGCATCTTTGTGCACATTAGAAAAAGGCTCTGCTTCCTCAAGTCGCTTTACTTCCATCTGCTGGAAAAAATATACAGAATGCCCAGATTTTTCTAGAACAAGTCACTCCTGGCATTGCCGCTACTTCAAGTCCAAGGGTGACTGCTGCTCCCACCATTTTCTATAGTCCCCTCTCCTCACCTCAACTTACTGCAGAAAGTGCTGAAAGACTTCACCTTGTCACTGAGAGAGTCTCAGAATCTCAGCCTCTCCTCGGGTTGTGGAGGCAAAGTGCCTGGCCCCTAGTTGGTTTCAGCACGTTAGTGCATGTCTGTGTCTAGTTCACAGGTGTCCGTTGCATGTCTTACTGACTGTCTCCCTCGGGCTTTCTGTCTCACACCTCTGCTAATATGATGTGTGTCTACATTTTATGTGTCACCTTCTGGGTCTCTACTCACCACCTATGCATCTCTGTGCCCCCTACCTGTGTCTCCTTTTCTCTGGGTCTCTATCCCTTTCTCTTTGTGTCTCTGTCCTCTTTCTGTCTGTCTGTCCTTCTCTCTGTCCTTACTGGGTCTGCGTGTATGCCTGTCGGGTTTCTATCCTTCTCTCTCTCTGGGGACCTGCACTCACCTTGGGTCTCTGTTCTTTCTCTCTGTATTTCCATATTCTACTGTTGTTCTGAGTCTCTCTTTCAACCTTGGATAATTTACTCTCTTAACTTTTTTTTTCTCTGGGTCTTTGCCTCTCTTCTTTTATCCCTTCTTTTTATCTTCTTTCTCTTCTTCCTTCTAATTTTGCTAATCCCCTCCCCTCCTCTTCCTTCCTTCTTCTCCACCGCCTCTCCCTCTCTCCCTCCTTCCCACCTTCTCTCTCCATCTCTCTGTGAGATTCTCCTCATTGGGTTTCTCTGCCCCTCCTACCCCCATTCTCCACTTCCTCTCTCTATTCTCCTTTCTTCTTCCCCTCCCTTCCCCATCTCTGTCTCCCTTGCTGTTTTTTATTTCCCTCTGTCTCTCTGTCCTGCCTCCCTTCTCCTGGTCTTCTGGGATTTCCCTGTCCTGGACTCTGTCTGTCTGTCCGTCGTTCTCTGTGTTTCCCACAGTTCCTGACCAAGCATCCAGGGAAACGTCTGGGCTCAGGGCCCGATGGGGAACCTACCATCCGTGCGCATGGATTTTTCCGTTGGATCGACTGGGAAAGGCTGGAACGACTAGAGATTCCCCCTCCGTTCAGACCCCGCCCGGTCAGTCAGCATCTAGGAACAAGAGTTGGTCCTTAGGGGCCAATATGCATGTATGTGTGGAGTTGGGGTGGGGGCTCCCTAAAAGGATTGTACAGACCCTGATGGGTGTGTAGATTGAAAGAGGCTACCTCCCAGGGACGGACCTGTGCAGAGTAAACTGATCTGCAGGGGTATTCAGAAGTGTGTCATCAGGCCTGTGTTCCCAGGCGCCTCTGGGTGGCTTTGTCCATCAACCTTTTTGCTAGCTAGCAGTGGAGCGTTTGACCTTTTGAACCACCCAGGAATTCCCTATAGAGAGATCAGGAGAAGATACTCATCCCCCCATCCCAACCCCGTTTTTCATAGTGCGGCCGCAGCGGTGAGAATTTCGACAAGTTCTTCACAAGGGCGGCGCCAGCGCTGACCCCCCCAGACCGTCTGGTCCTGGCCAGCATCGACCAGTCAGATTTCCAGGGCTTCACCTACGTGAACCCTGATTTCGTGCATCCGGACGTCCGCAGCCCCACCAGCCCGATGCCTGTACAAGTCATGTAATTCCACCCAATGCCACTAGGTGTCCTCACTGTCTCCTGCTCCAGCCTACCTCACCTCCTAACCCCTCCCCTCCCCCACTCGTTCTAGATCCTCCTCCCCAGCGTTCTGGCCTCTGCCCGCGATTCTAGAACCATCCCAGCAGCATTATCTGTCATTCTAGGCTCCAAATAGGCTCTAGAGCCTCCTTGTATTCTAGATTGTGGTGTGCTGGACTCTAGATCCCTCCCCACCTTTCTGGACTCCATTGCTCCTGGTTCAAGAATCACCACCACCACCATCCCAACCCTATGGGATTCTAGATTCTGTCCTGATAGGTTCTGTGTCTCTCCCCGCTGCCCTCCCCCAGGGGGGTGGCGCAAATAGTTCCATGGGGTGGGCTGTTCCAGACTGGGACTTCAGAACAAACCACCCCTCCAAGGTCTGCCCCTCCCACTCCTGCTCCAGCCCTAAAGTCAATGCCCCCATGCATAAATGCCCCCTCTTCTCTGCCATGAGCATTCCTGGGATATATGGAGGATTCTCCCCACTGCTGTTCTCAGTCTGCTCAGTTCTAGATCCCCTTCATCACTGCTTATCAGTGCGCGGCTCCCTTCCTGCTCTGAAGCTCCCACGCCATGCCTGCCACTTTCTGGGACTCCCCCTCTCCCCGCCTCCACTTGGCTCTGCCTCTGCCACCGGCCACAGCTGCTGGAGAATAAATTTGGGCTGCTGATCTGAAGTGTGTTTGGATGTTTTCTTCTAAGCTTGGAGGGTGGAGGTGGGGACAATGACATACATAGAAACAAACAGAGATGGGGACAGAGAGAAAATACGGAGAGAGCAGATACCACACAATATGAGAGAGAGAAGAGAATTGAGAAAATCAGAGAGAGAGACAGCAGAGACAGAGAGAGGACAGACAGTATGGGCATACAGAAACCCAGAGACACACAGAGAAAAGAGTATAGAAATCTAGAAGGAGAGAACTAGAGAGACTCGGTAGTATGAGAGTTCAGAAATCCAGAGAGAGACAGCAGACAGAGAGAGAGAGAGAAACACACACACACAGATGACAGTATGAATGAGTTCAGAAACCCAGAGAGAATAAACATGGAGCCCCACAAAGAGCAGATACTACAATATGAGCTAGAGAGAGACTAAGAGAGAGAGAAATGATAATATGAAAGTACAGAAACAGAGAGCGAGAGCAGAGACCTTCCCCATCATCCCTGAGTACAAGAGAAGAATATAGACACCCAGAGAGAGAAAGAATGAAGAGGGTATAGAAATAGAGTTGGGAGAGAGGAGAGAGAGCCGGAAGGCTAGAACCGGAGTGAACAGAAAAACGCATAGGTGGGAAGGAGGAGGGCAGAGTGTGCTCACAGCTCCCAGACTCAGAGTGAGAGTGCACAGTTCCACTGGGAGGGGAAAGAGGGACCCGAAGAACTAGGCAGAGATACCGTCAGACGACCAAGAGTAATAGACGGAGGTCGTGGGCACTGAGACATCACGCCCATAGTCACCTCAGTCACACACCAGCTCCCACAAAGACACACACACCTGCACCCCATTGAGACCAGACAGGCAGGCCCCACAGTGAGACCTGGAGACCCCATCAGAAACACCCCCTGCCACAGAAACCCACCAGGACCCTTGAGTTTGGGAATTGGCAGCAGGCAGGCGGCTGTGTCCTCCACCTTCTCCTCCCTCCCCACACTTTCGTGGTTGTGGGGGGACTAGTTCAACGATACTACACTTCCCAGCAGACAACGCGGTAGACCCTTCCTCCCCAGTGCAGCCCCTCGCTGCTGGGGTCGATGGGAAATGTAGTCCTCAGACCCGGGCAGGGCAGCCGGGTGGTGTGCCGGTGTCTGTATGTTTGGAGGGGACCAAGCCCCAAAGCTTTTCAGTCTCCCTTGGGAGCTCTGGCCTCTCCGTCCTTGCGGGCTCGTGAGTCCCCGCGACCTTGCTGGGGCTGTCCATCGTCTTAACCGCAGCAATGCCCTGGTTTCCCCATTCCGTGTCCGTGGGTCCCAGCCTCCGCTTCAACCCTCGGCGGGCGGCCTGCCCCTTTAAGAGTGGCCCCGCTGACATCACGGCGGGGGGGGGGGTACTGGCCCGGCTCCGGCTCCGCGGCGGATGCAGGACCCGGCTCCGCTCTGCGCCCGCCCGCTGCTCCCGGGACCCCGGCCTGGGACGCCCCCTCCCGCCTCCTTCGGCAGCCCAGACCCCAGGCTCCGCCTCAGGCCCGACCCGAGCCCTAGTCCTCATCAGGGGACCCCCAGGATTGCTCCCTGCCGTCTCTCCTTCCCAGGGTCTCTCTCTCCTCTTTCCAAGCTCAAGGTCTCTGGTCTCAGCATCTCTCAGCCCAAGGCCACTGAGCGTCTCTCTGTCTCTGAGTCCGTTTCTCTCTCTCTGACCGCTCCACTCTCAGGACCTCAGATCCCCTGAGCCTCGAGTGGGGTGGGGTGGGGGTCTCAGGCTCCGTCTGTCTCTCTCCTTTTCTCTCCCTCTCTCTATCTGTGATCATCTCCGTGTCTCCTCCAGTCTCTGGACCTGTGAGTCTCAGAATTTCTCAGCCTCAAGGTCTCCGTGTGGCACTGGGTATATCCTCAGCCTGTCTGCCTCTCTGGGCGCCCGGCCCCTCTCTCCCAGTCTCCCCCATCCTCAAGGCCTAGCTCCCTCCCTCCTCCCTCCTTGCATCCCCCCCACCCCGCCGCCGCCCCTCCCCTCCTCCT